CCATGTCCTAACACTTTTTCACAGTACTGTGTATATATATCATTGAAACAATTGAAAAATAAACTGTTGAAAAATTTGAAATGGCAAATAAGCACAATCATAAACACAAGCCACGGGCAAAAAAACATACATCTAAATGAAGCTGTGCCAACCAAGAAAGTGAGGATTGAGCAAAAATAGCAAAGGGAGCTAGCTACACCAATACAGGTAGCACAATACTATTGGTGGAAAGTAGTCACATGATATGTCACAAAATTGGTGGAGTACATAGACTGGTGCGCTTAGCATGAAAATTATTTTAGCAATTCTTAGGGGGTAGAAAAAAGATTTTATGTGAGAGGAAGTAAGACCATATCGGAATCAATATTACAATACTTGAAATGGAATATAACTTAGTCTTCATATGCACTGGATTTAGCATGCAACACTACTAGTCTAGGCTGGATTTATAAAGAATCAGTATGTTATTTTCATGTGATCCAATTTCTTTGCATAATAACAGCAGGGTCAAACAGGAAAGTTTAAGAGCAACCTGAATCTGAAAACTTGACTCAGTTTTTACACTTTGAGAAACAAGCAACTGGATGTGTGTGATGTTAATAAAAACATTCTTTATTTACAACACAACAACAGCAACAAAAATAAAAAAAGCATGTGTACTTCTGTGGAAAAGTAAAGGGTTGCCTCTACTGAATATTCACTGATTTGCAGCTATTTTCCCTTGAGATATCTGAAGAACTATTCACTTTTAAAACTAGGTAAACTCTGTAGAACTAAAGCTCTATACAGATACAGGAAACTCTATTTTTATTGTTTTGTTACAACATCATTACAACTGATCATTCTCCCACAACATTCATCAACTGTGACATACAAGCATCATCCACTCAGCCAGCAAGATGTTGCAGTCATTGATCCTATCAATATGGATTTATCACAACACCTTCTTGAGCAGAGTTGATATTATCCATCATAGAGAACTAAGACACAATGGCAACTACAATGATTTTCAAGACCATGTTTTTATGTCAAAACTATACAGAGACTAACTAAATGAAAAATTTTAGAAATTCCTATATTAATAGAATAAAAACATTATATGCTTACATGTCACATAGTATTAGTCTAGGCTGGATTTACAAAGAATCATAGTTTAGGACATTTCATTCAAGAGGAGCAAGTGTTCCATTTTGCACCTACATAGCATTATCTAATAGAAGCAAGTATTCCATTTTGAAATCTACATGCTGATATCAAATAGGAATAAATGTGCTATCCAGTAGGAGCATATGATCCATTTTGAAATCTACATACTGCTATCAATGAGAATCAAATATTTCATTACAAAATCTACATAGTGTTATTCAATTGAAGCATATTACAACCTACTACAAATGGGTAAGTATCCAGTCTGATATTGTACTATCCAGTGAAATCCTAAACAATTGGACAATAATTTTGCAGTGAATGTTATAATCAGATATCATTGTCATCAACACATTATTACACTGGCACGATACTAATTACAAGTGCATTACATATTACAGGTATTGCATCATCTGTAACATAGTAACATTTTCCCTAATATTAAAGAGTTGAAGCTCTGATAGTCATAACACATATAATCATTATGTAATTTAAATAAATATCATAGAAATACATTGGATTGCACCTGTTTGTTGCAGGTGGTCATGTTAGTGGCAGTAACAAACACAACCCACACAGCCAGTAGAGGGATGGAGAAGAACTGTGGTGTAAAGCACTGTTTTAAGTGTTGTATGCCCTTAAAGAGCCTGTAATAACAGCTCACTCATGCATAACTGCATATCCTTAATAAATTCTTAAAATACGATGACACAGTAACTGGTTTCATACTACACTATAATGGAATGGTAGCTTATGACTGTGATACATATTCAATATGTATGCCCACATCTACTATCTGATTTGAAAATGTCCAAATCCAATCAGTTATTAGGAGCTGTATATCCAAACTTTGTTGACTACTATTTGTCTCATAACTACCATTCACATAATAGTTATTCAGTAGGAAATAGTTTCACATTACAATTGTGTTAACTTACCTCAATAGACATTCCTAATCGTATGTTTGTTGCTGCTTTCTCAGCTCCTGCTCGGCCTCCGCCTGCCCTCTTTGCAGCTGCTTGACTTGCTATTTTTAAAACAAATAATGTTATCCATTATGAACAAAATCATTCCAGAAAGAAAACATCAATTTAATAAATACAAGTAATATTTAAAATCACCTAGGAATACAGAGGGTTGAGTAGGAAGCAATAACCTGCTTTGTGCCTTCTGGCAAGGCATTACAATGAGGATTTTGTGGTTAATGGAATCTCATCTCATTTAATAAACCAAATAACAATCTCGACTGACTAACAGCAATATGTCATGTCATTTTCTTGGGTTGTGGGGAAGATCTCATTCTGCTTTTTTCGCTGCCTTATCCATAGACTGCATGATGATATGTGGTAAAAGGAAGGGTGATGGTGGGAACTCTGAAAATGATGCCTTCAAGAAGTCATTGTGGTAAGTACTGGTGAGAATGTGTGTTAAGAGGTGAATATCTATCACAAAAACATTTTCAGGAAAGAAAAATTTTAAACTCCAAGATAATACCACACTTCTGTACACAGTTAATCTAGAATCTCATCATGAAGTGGTGGAGGGGCTGGTGCAAAGATTTACCTAGATATGCTCCCTTCAATAAGTGTCCAAAGGAAGCTCATGAAATGTGACACCTGATGGCAGAGGTTTCATAGGGGCACACCTGTAGGAGACATCTCATCCAGGGTATATTCTTCACCCAGGAAGAAAGGAAAGAATACACAAATGAACCTCATGTGTTGCAGGGAAGGGTGAAAGTAGAACATGACCATCCAAGTACTTGTATATAAGAGGTCAGAGAGCCAATACATGTAGCATGGTTGGGACACATTCAGACTGCACTTGTGTGTTCAATTCAACTCTACCATCCAACTTTATTAGACCAACATCAGCTGTGAGAAGGGGCACATTAGTCATGCTATAGACAGTGGTAATGGCATGTGCACACCGACTCAACTGAACGTATATCAGCTGAAGGAGGAAGGCAACTGAAGCATTGTGGTATTTTGAAGTATTTTTCGTTACTTACAATGCTTCAAGAAGAGAGAAATAGATGCCTAAAGTGACATGTATAGCCCATTATGAAGAAATATTATGCAAGAATTAGCTAATGCATTGGAATGCATTGATGACACTTGACTATAAAAGAAAAGTATAACAAGGATGCACTTGATATGTTTGAACTGATGCTGATATGGCAGAGAAAAGGTCGTGAGAATGTTTATGCAAACTTCATTAAAGACTGGACGCGAGAATCATATCAACACACTGTCACTGGTATAGCACAGAGAAAGCTATAAGAGATGTTTACATTAACTTGGAAAAAATCTTCCAAATAAGGGGTTAGTCAAAACCTTTGAAGTAGGATTAATATCTAGAAGACAACGATGGATACATGTAAACAGGCAGCTGAGTTATTGTCTTCTAATATGACCAATCATGAAGTATTTTTGTTTTTGGTTCCCAGTAGTTCCACGAATTATGATGAGTTGCGAAAAAATCATCCAATTAAGTGACAGGTCTACTTGCAGGTGGACATGTAAACTATTTGGGAAGTCGCAAGGATACCAAAGAGAATTGGTATAAGAACCTCTGTCTTTGGTCAGAAAGTCAGTTGATTTCGAAGAGTTCTTAGGCCAGAACAGAAGGAGTATGCTACCAAAATTAGAGTCAATTGAGTTGGAAGTTTTTAGCTGCCAAAGAGAATTGCTGCCAGTCTCCTCAGAGTTCTGCAACAGAAACCTAAGAGCCAGAGTTCTGCCACAAATCAGAAATTTAGTGTTGCTGCCAGAAGATATGATGTACAGAACAGCCATGCCAAGGTTCACAGAGTATGTCTCGCTCAAGCTTCATATAAGTAATCAATGCTACCTCTCTTGAATTGAAGAACATAACTAGAAGTTGATATGAAACATATAGTAACTCAGAAGTATCTTTGGTTGAGCTTACATTAGTAACATTTGAATAGAGTTACTGAAGTGAATAAGAGATTTGAAAGTATTGTAAGTTTATTCAGAAATTGTTATATTAAACATTGAAGTTTATTCTGAACCTCAGTCTCAGAGTCAATTCTTTATTCTAACCATAAACTTCCTAGAGTTAGTGACTTGTGTGCCCCACTCGCAACTGCATTCCTCAACTTAATATAAATTTGTTGTGACTGGCAGTAAAGTCGAAGCTCCAATGACTAGCCCACATGGCCCACCTGTTACATAATGTTTGGTATTGTGTGTGCATCTCAATTCAACTGAAAAAGTGGCATCCGCAGAAGGAGGGCATTGGATAATTGTGTGTGCTCACAGTGGGGAGACCTGAAGAAAATGCTTAAATTCCCATTGGTACTTCAGTCTGGAAAGGTCTTTTACTGGAGACAGTTCAATGGGTGACCACAAACCCTATTTTGAAAAGCCAGCAAACACAAGCCAGGGAAGCTGGCTTTTTCATTGATAGTCCATGGAATAGGTACAGTCTGGATCAGACAAAATGTTAAAATTATAGACAACCCAAGAGGATACTGAAAGTGGTCTTGTGGTACACCCCATCTCACAGTGGGCATATATGAAGCCAGAGTGGATGGTAGGAGAACCTTTTGTTGTCCTGGCCCGATGCAGATTTTGGGAAATAAGTACACCCTAGAAGGCACCACCAGCCACCTGGTGGGATCTTAAGAAAGCAAAAGGGGCTCTGAAAGAGAAATAGTATGTATTCTTCTCAAAGATGGTTGGATGATAGAAGAATGCCAACATGAGAAATGAAGCAAAGAACCATAAGGAGATAAAACAGCCACAAGATGTAGAGGAGATGAATGTGTGGAGAGCAAAGAATTTTTCTGACATAAATTTGTTTTTCATAACAAGTAAACAACTAGTTAATCTAAACAATAAAGTGCAAAAGTCAAGTGAACTGAGCAAATATACATACTTTCATAGAATTTTCAGAATTATTAAAATTCTGAAAGTAACTAGGATTTACTTCTTCATCTACATCATAAAATATTCCAGAATTTACCCTATTTTCAACCCAACATTTCTATCTTCAAATGCTTGCTAAGTTCTGCACTGTAACAAATAGTGTTCTAATTCTTAACAGTTATATGAAATTGTCATACATAAATACATACATATTAATGAACGTGTGCACATCTACTTAAATCTTACCTGCAAATTCCTGCTTAAGGGCACGCGTAAAGGCTCGGCCTACAACCTGAGCTCCTAGAATAATTATCTGTGCCAAATGTTTTGCCTAAAAAATACAAATTTTACTTATTCCAACTGCAGATTTTCTAAATATAACAAAAACATTTTCAATAACAATAATATAATTATTACAACCTGTAAGAAAAGTTCTGACTATAGTGTTTAAATTTCTAAATAATATAAAGTTATTATATTAAGTTAGAAACAAAGTACGTTATGCACAAAAATACCAGAAACAAAATTAAAATTCAGTGTTGCCCTTCACTTCTATATACATATTTAACAGGAAGACTACTTAAGTTATGGACCTTAAGATATGTAAAAATCAGACACAATTCCAATTATGCTTGGGTTACTTTTCTGTTCTCATATGCACTTTTAGTTGTGGTAAAAGCTGTAACACTGAGGAAGTTTAAAAAAAGATTATACATGTATCTTAGAGATTAGGGTTAGATATAAGAAAAGGGCTTTCCTATATGTAGTTTGAAATAGATTGCAGAGTGATAATAAAAAATGAGATAGCCTGGAATGGCCAAATGACCTTCCATGTTATCCATTGGAAATGTTGGAAAGAGCTGATAATCCTTGGGGCTTGGCATTTCTTTTGTTCAGATGCTTCCCAACATTCTTAATCACTTAGTGTTGTATGTCTGCAGACATTCAACGCTAGAAACCGGGTTTCGATACTCGTAGTGGGCAGAGCACAGATAGCCCATTGTGTAGCTTTGTGCTTAATTACAAACAAACACTTAGTGTTTATTTTGTTCAAACATCTAAGGAAATAAGTACAAGCAACAGATGTCCAGATTCAGGCTGATTATTAAAGTGTTGACTTACGGAATACTTTTCCAGATGATGTGAACTGGTAGTTTGAATTATTTTAATTTTTTGTGTGTCTTTTTATAAATGTTAGAGGTTCTATTTAAATTGTGTCAGATTTTAAAAATAATATATATATATATATATATATATATATA